ATAGGTTTCGTATTAGCACAATTAAATGTTCTGGGATTCCCATTCTTCTCAGAGTCAGCCACAGTTTGTTATCATCCACACAGTCAAATGCCTTTGCATAATCAATGAAACACAGATAGACATTCTTCTGGTATTCCCTGCTTTCATCCAAGATCAGAAACATCATAGAAAACTTCTAATAGGACTGTGAAAGAGTCTACACTTAAATTCTCTATCCTGGAAATTCCTACAATAAAATAATATGATCAAATCAGTATAACAAAAACCAAGAGATAAGTACAGGTCTATAAGAGAATTTAATAATGAAACAGCAGATAATTTTCCCTTAAATATTTACTACATATATATGCTTAAGGCTCTCTCTCTCTCTCTATCTCTATCTATCCATAGATATATATGAACTATTGAAGAACTTATAATTATTTACTAATGTTCCCAAGGGCCTATATTTAGGAAAGGGCGCTCTGGTGGATTAGTATTAAGGAGTTGCACCGCCAACCCAAAGGTATGAGGTTTGAATCCACCAGCTGCTTTATGAGAGAAGGATGGGAAATCTCCTGTGTTAATTTACCACCTCTAAAAACTCTGGAGGGTCAGCTGTGAATTGGTTCTGATTTGACAGCAAATAACAACAACACAGTTAGGAATGCTGACGTTTGAATCTAAACAGTATAACATTAAAGCTCATCCTATTAAAGGAGCTCTGGTGGCCTAGTGGCAAGACGCTACACTAATTACAGAGGTACGTGGTTCAAATCTACCAGATGCTCTGCTGGAGAAGGAGGAGGCAATCTCCTCCTGTACCACTCAGATCTGATTTGACGGTACATGTAAAAAAAAAATACAATAAAAATAATAAAAAAATTTTTTTTTTAAAAAGCTCATCCTATTAACTTGATTATAGTGTTCTGTCATTGGCAAAGTTAAATCAAGTGATATAAATAAAGAGAATTAAGAGTTTATGTGAGTTTGTAATATCTGTCTTGAAAATAATATCTTTCTTTGCATTGATTTCATTCAATAAGCATTCATTTGGCTGCTAGAATATTACTATTTAAAAAGAAAAAGAAATTTGAATTTGTGTTCAACTTTTCCCTGTATAAATCCACTGGCTCTTGAAGCACAGATTGTACTAATTTTTTCTACCATTACTGTAGTAGCAATAACTGAAAACTTAAAAGGGAAAAGTTCATCCACAAAGCGTTTAAACAGCATCTATAAAGCCAGGATTTAAACTTACCTGGTGGTGCAGTCGATAGGGAGTTGTACTGCTAACTCAAGGGTGATGCCTCTTTGGTGGTTCAAATCTACGAGTTTTTCTACAGGAGAAAGATGGGCAATCTCCTCCTATGAGATTTACAGCCTCTGAAAACCCTTTAGGGGTCAGTTATAAATTGGTTCCAACCCCTTGGTAATGAATTTGAGGGTTGTTTGGTTGTTTTTTCATTTTTATAGTGGTCTACAATTTCATAAGTACAGCTGATTTGTAAGGGAAACAGACGATGAGGATGAGAGGGTTCCCCCCATGACATCCATCTGGTCTTATAATGTTCTCCATGGAAGAAAGCAATAAAGCTTCCCAGTCTCATATAACCAACAAAGATGTTAATTGATTCAGTAACATGGGATTCCACTTGCATCCATTTAATTAAAAGCATATCATATCTTCACAGGTGGAATTCAGACACAGAGTATTACTAAAATATGGCAGGATGGTGTCTCTTTGTGGTGTGTGCATTGACAAGAGCAAAGCAACTGGCCCTGCCTAGGTACTCTAAGTCATTTCACAAACATCACTTAGTATAGCGAACTGTCTCCACTCCAGGACAAGGGAAACAGCACTTCCAAACTGACTCATTATCTGTCCTCTCTGTGGTTGTGGGAATCCACTTTTGTAAACACTGAAAGCAAACAATTTGAAAGAAGCAGCCAATCACTGGAGCCAAAGTAAATAACGGAACAGAATGAGCCTAGACACTAGGCATGGAAATTCCAGACAGCGACGGGAAAATGTCAAGTCTAGTATCTGGTTTGGCTTCAAAAATGTTCACAAGGTCAGAAATGTATGGCTTGTTCTCTTTTAATTATTCATGCACTGGGGTATGTAATTTCTAGGGCTGAAGAATGTAATGACAAAATCAATTTCCAGAATCATATTTTCTGTAGTTATAGTAAATTCAGAGACACTGCTGATTCTTATTCACCAGCTATGTATAAAACTTGTGTTTTGCTAGGCTACTACCATGATTAATGATGTAGCAGAAAGCCAAGGGTAGTCTGATGTGTTTATTCTTTTCTTAACTTACTACAGGCATAATTATAGTGAACCAAAACCCTGTCAACCCAATCATTTATATGTAGATAGAATAAGTACGTACGACTTGAAATAACACTTGGGCTTAATGTAGACTATGCTCTGGAGGAAATAAGTATACAGTGAAATATCACTAAGGAGTCCTAAAAGGAAAGGTGTCTAGAAAGCAGTGATACCTAAACACATCTGCCGGAGACAAATGGTGTGAAACAAACTCAGTGCTCTGCTCAGGTATTTCCTTTAAGCTGCAGAGCCATGCACTGTGCTGATCAATTAACTGGGTGCCCCCACTTCACATCCCATTAGCACATCTTATCTCTTTAAGGTCAAAACTAATCCTGGTTCTTGCTTTCTTGTTTTTCATGTACTTGCATGCATCTGAGAGCTGGACAAAGATTAAGGTTGACAGAAGAACTGATGCCTTTGAACTGTGGTGTCAGAGAAGAGCACTGTCTATCCCATGGACCACCAAAAGAACAAACAAATACACTTGAGAAGGTGCAGCCAAGGAGGAGGCAAAGATGCTGAAGCTTTTTCTCACATACTGTGGGCATACTGCTAGGAGAGATTATTCCTTGGAGAGGAAAATTACGCTTGGGAAGGCGGAGAGACTGTAAAGGAGAGGAAGATCCTCAGCCAGGTGGATTGACACAGTGATTGCAGCAACGGGCGGGAGGACGCCGGAGATTGGGAGGATAGTACAGGATAGTGCAGGGTTCAAGGGTTCAGATCCATTGCTTATACAATCGCTTGAGTTGTACTCAACTCAATGGTACCTAACAACAACATCAATACATGATCCCACTAACCACTTATGTCCAAATTAGACATCTAGGGAATCATCCTTTTTAGTTTCCTTACTCTCTCTTCTCTACATGCAAATAATTCACAAGTCATACCATTTGTGTCTTTCAAATAGTTCTCAAATGCACCAATTGATTTTATTCCTACCACTATCAATCTTTCTCATAAAGATTACTCTCCATTGTCTCCTGATTTTCTAGCTCAAGTTTTGTATTCTTCAATTCATTATCCAGCATGCAAGCAGAAAAATGGGTTATAAAACACAAATCTGATCAACAATGTTGCTCCTCTACTTTAGAATTCTTTGTTTTCCAGTGATTTTCAACCAAGCCGAGGAAACAAACTCAATATCCTCTTGCATACAATGACAGGAGAAGGCCTACTGCCCACAGAAAGCATGGTCACCATACATCCTCCACAGTCGCCACACTC